AATATTTTATACATTGTCTAATTAGTGACTCTTTTCACCCTACTAAATTGAACGACTTCTGAAGATTGCAAATAAACAATGTAACTACATGACCATATCTATCTTTTTGTTAAATATCAATTTTGATTCCTCAATTTTTAAAGTTTTATATATTTTTTATCTTTAAAATTTTTATGCATTTTTTTATCTATTAACTATGAAGGATGTACTTTTTAAGATTTTTTATCAATTAATTTGTTAAATTTGTCTATAGATATTTTTAGTCTTTCAACTTATAATATATATACATTTTTTATCTTTTAATTTAAAATTTTAAGGATTAAAAATATATATATTTAGACAAAATTAACAAATCTATTGCTATAAATACTAAAACGTAAAATTTTCATAATTAAGAGACATAAACAAAATAATACATTAAAAAGTTACAAGATAAAAAATATATAAAATTGTAAAGTTAAAGGATCAAAGTTGATATTTGACCTTACCTTTTTCTTCTCAAATTACATAATTTTTTTAATATTCAAATGATAAACTATACAGATAATCCCGCTTCCCAAGTGAATCCCACCCACAAATTACTTAGATCTTTCTTTTTTTTTTATATTTAATAATGGTGAGTTATATAAAATAAATTTTATTTTTTAAAATTTTTTTTCATCCAATTAAAAGTTTTAATTTAAGATTTATAATTTAAAATATCAAAATTTTAATCATTGATTAATACCGTCAGGCCTGTTGTTGTTCCTCTTTCCTCTCTATTAATACCACCAAACAGGGACTCAACTCCGTGTGCTTTTCCCGCTTCCTCTCTTCTCCCATTAAGCTCCCCATTTCTGCAAAATCCAATCCTACTTTTAGGTTCTGTCTCTTCTGTTTACCCCTGAAACCATCCATAAGAAACTTCAAACTTATACCCCCTTTGTTTTCCCTCTGGAAGCTGAAAACAATATGGCAGAGAACGGAAGAGAACAACCTAACGACCTAGAAACAGGAAACTCAGAGGCGGGCTCTTCTTCAATGAATATTGAGATTACAAAAGAGAGTGCCTCAACACCAATTGAGCCTTCTCCAACATCAGTAAATAAGGAGAACACAAATCCTGATGAGAATTCAAAATCAAAAGGTGGAACTGAAGAGGGCACGGGCAATTCTGTTACTACCACCACAAGTAAGAGCTATGGATGTTTAGTGATTTTATTGGTTGTCTTGATTGCACTCCTTCTGCCTGTGTATTACCTGATTAAATATGCTTGCTTAATCGTTCTTGCAATTGCTGCTCCTAAGAAGCGGACAATTTGGGTGGTATTGGAGTGGATTGCATTGGTTGGCTTCACCGGGTTTTTGGGTTGCTAGTGTCTTATAATCTCGTAAGTGATTAAAGGGTTTGTCTAATCTTCCTCCTTAGAGCAAAAGTTAGGGCAAAAGTTAAGATGTAATAAATATATCTTTTTATTATTAATTTAGATGATAAATAATAAAAATTAACATTTATTTTAATAATATTATCAAGTAAATAATTTTAATTAATTAATTAAATTTAAATTAATTTTTATC